GCATACGCATAATGCATAAGGAAGCCAACCAATCAGAATCCTTCCTTTCTTTCCATTTCACGAAAAAGACGAACTTTGATTGATTGATTCTCTTGCAAACTATGCATTATGAGCAAAATTCTGTACTGCAGCATATTTCTGTACCTATAATTTTTCGTAGAGTATCTTTTAAATTTAAATACATAAGTACAAGGTAGCTATACCAATGACATATATACATAAATCAAATATATATTCTTATATTTTTCAGTGATAGAGGGATGAAGCTAGAAATTGACAGTTTAAGTGACCGTCAGTTACCGTTGAGGTTCCGTGTTCTCTACTTTCGTTGAAGATAGAAAGAAACTCAATGAAATATCAGACCCTATTAAACTGTCATCTTCCGATTTCAAGCTACAGAATGCTTGAGCTATGTATATGTCTTTGGAGTTAAACATTATGTCATTATATTACAAACTTAATTTTATTCCTCTGAAGAAATTGACTTTCCGATATATATATAATGTTTGAAACAATATTGATTTTAAAAAAATATGACAAATGATAATTATTCAAACCTTTTTATTAATATTATAACAACGCTTTTAATATTGAAAGTAAAATTAATCATCATTTTCCAGTATTAAATTTCTATAAGCAAGGTATATCATCAAATACAAGTGTGATTAAATGAAGCAACAAGTGTCTATATGCGTTACATCAAAGCCGAGATTTCAACAGCGTTTTTATCATCACCGTTTCACGCTAATTCTTGTATGCGTACTAATATTTGAAGCATTACTTACTTGCATCGCCGATAACGCGCCACAAGCCGGTGTCGCAAATGTGTTGAAAACCGCACCGCCCATCACGGTACCGACACCGAGATCAGATTCAGTCAGGAAAGTGCCGACGACATTGACAAATAATTCGGGAAAGCAACTCGCTGTGGCGAGGAAAGTTGCTCCGGCGACATCAGTGCTGATGTTTAATTGCGTACATAAGATGTCAAGCGCCGGTAACAGATAGTCGTTGCAAATGAATGCTGTCAGAATGAAGCAATAGAAACCGAAGAGTAAGTGAAGTACCACCGCACCATGACGACGCTGTTCGTATGTGAACACCTCCGGAAACTCCCTAATTGAACGCTCCTCGCAGTTCTCTTCATTGTCTTCTTGCTTCGCGAACAAGAGCTGATTGTCAGTCGATTCGTGAACGTTGTTTGAAACTGGATTATTCTCCGAGAATCCTTTATGAATTGAGGTCGCAGACAGATTTCCGTCTAATCAAACAAAGCGAAGCATCTATTCAGAAATATTCTCTGGCTGATCGTTTAAAGAAAAGTAGTAATTAATCAATGTTCGTGGAAAAATGAAGATTAAAATTTTTATACCTTTAAGATTCTTTCCTTATATAAATTGAAAAACTACAAATTTTTCGTAAAAGTCCACCTTGAATGATGAAAACAAATTCTCATAATACGTATCTCAACATTTTTAAGAATTTTTCATATTTTAAATTTATGAGTATTTCTAAAAAATAGCATAACTTTCTTAGATTTTATAAATTTTTTTCAGAGAAATTATGAAATAAGAAATTTTAAAATATTTCAGAAAATTTATAATACAAAGAATTTTAAAAATACATAGATTTTTAGCATTTTTGAAACTTTTATGTTTTAATCCGCATAAAAACATTACTCGTATGTGCATTTTAGGATAAATTTTCATTACAAATTAGAGATATAAAATGTAATTGCGTGTTGCGAATGTTCTTTGCATTTTCATATCTTTTCTTAAAATATTTTTCTATATTTGCAATTACAAAATATTTTATCTCCGTTTCTGTATCTATAATTATACAAAGACATTTTTTAATTTTCTTAAAATGTTTTTCTATATTTCCAACGTTGCAAAATATTTTATCTCTGTTTCTGTATCTATAATTATACAAAGACATTTTTTAAGGAAATATAACTTTGTTAATGTACCTGCGGACATTTGACATTTCTGATATTCCGTTTTTCATTTTATAATGTGATAACATAATACATGTATTATCTTTGTAATTATCTCAGACAAAAATCTTGATATAGTGCGTGATTTGAGTACAGTAATTTGAGTACAATAACAAATATCAAAATACTATTAATTGCGATATGCATCTTAAAATTATAATCTTTGATAAGATTGTAAACATTTTCACTTTCAAATTGAATAAAAGTATTCTTCAATAAATAAATTAGGACAATGATAAGTAATCTATGGCCCGTAAATGGCATGTGGCCTAACAATTAATTTCTTATGATCCGCCAACTCATATAGACAAAAATATAAAATTATATTTTCTATTTTATGCAAATTTGAAATGCATTTGTAATACATCTTAAGAAATTTTTAAGAATTTATATTTAAAAATGTAGCTTATATTTCATAAATAATATAAAAAAATAATATGTTTGTAAAATATTTGATTTTTATCAGTTATTTTGAGATATTTTTATTTCCTTATTGATGAGATAAAATTTAAAATGAATCGTTGTAGTAATTATTTTTACACGAATTGTAGACAGTATAAAAACAATCATAAAAATAAATAATTCGAATAAATAAACGGATACAAAATTTTATTTTAATATTAACAAAAAAAAATATAGATGTATATATCTACATTTATGATTTCCTTATTAATACGATTATATAATACAATTTTTTAATCCGTTTATTACATGCATACACATGTATACTGCTAAAAAAAAGGAGAATTATTTAAAAGTCATTTAAAAAGGAGCAAATTTAAAATAATGTATATATTGCGAAAAATAGTAGCAATAATGAAGGTGTTTAAGAAACGTTTAAAAAATTTTTTTCACTCTTGAGGCTCATTTTTAGCATTAAAACAGATGATAAAAATTAACAAATATCGAGTGTCAATTTTGATTACGTGACCTGTTTTGACGCTAAAAATAAACATCAGCATATAAAACCTTAAAGCTTAAAATCTCAAGTTTCGAATGCTTTAAATTCTGTGTCTCTGCAACGATTTCATTAAAAAAAGGCACTAATTTAAAGTAAACTTTGAAAATTGAAGAATAAACTTCAACTTTGACAATGTACGAGAACAAAATTTTTATGCAAATTTCTTCAATTATATCGCAAAATAAAATATTTTCTCTTTAAAATTTATCTTTAATTATTATGCTGCAATTTTTCTTTGCTAAGTTATGAGGATTTAAAGCGAGTAGTGCATTTTAAGTCTTTTCTTTAAAAAAACAACTATATCTTTGTGTCGTGTCGCGTCGCGCCGGTATTGTGCCGCAACAATTTAAGTTGCCTACATTTCCATAAGGTATCTTCTTGACATAAAAAAAAAATGGAAATACATTTACTTCTCTTTACTCGTAATTATTATAAATGCCGTGCGTAATTATTGCAAATGCCATATGTCGTGCGTTCGTTGACAATGATATCGTGATAATTCGTGACAATTAAAATTTTAACTGTTACGAAGTTGCAACAAAATCATCGTGAATTTATTGTCTCGAAATTGTCACAGATTATCACAATATTATTCGATAATGATATCGTGATAAAAAAATTAAATATTTACAAAATATTTATCTGTTAATATTAAAATGAATCATTCTGATGATACTTTTTTTCCGCAAACATAACTTAATTGGATTTACTTTTTTATTTTTAGCACTTTAAGTGATCCTCTCTCTATGGAGCAAATTCAAAAGATCTGTTCTTTTTTCATCCCAAGTTCTAAACTAATCCAATAAGTTAGAGTATAAAAGAGATATAATTTGTTTTATTCTAACTTATTGTATTAGTTCAGGACTAGTTCAGAACTTTTCGAAAAAGAACAGACCTAAAGTTACATTTCTTTGCTAAAAAATATATAGTGTGATTCGTTTTAATCTTAAAAGATAAATGTTTCTAAAATTCGTGATTTTATCAAAAAACATTCCATTGAATGAAAATTGTATTATACAAAGATTGACGCATTATAAACTTTTAAATAAAAGTCACTGTTACATTGCAAACACATACATGCTTTATTCTTACGAATAAATTTATCCTTCAGAATTAATACTATATTTACTGGAATATTTTATGGTTTTTGTCATAAAAAATTGTTTTTGGAAAGCACATATCACTAAAAATGCGATTTGTAGAAAAATTAAATTATTTAATTAGTGAAATATATGTATAGAAATAGTTTTCATTTTAGAATCTTCGTAAAAAATTTATCCAAATACATTACATTGCAATATTGCTGGAACGTTTTGTTGCAATATAACAAAAAGCGAACATCTTAACATTGTTGGAATTTTGCAACAATAATTCAGCAACGTTTCGCAACCACCATGCAATATTGCAATGTTTCAGTGAAATCATTCTGCAATCTTTCTGTGTTATATGGAAGATAATACTATCACATTAGCACTTAATGCGACGGTCATTAGAATAAAAAATCGCATTCGACAATCTATCACACCTGCTTTTCTTTCTATACTTCGATTCACGCTTAATTTTTTATTATTATTACAATGAAAGCATGAGAACTCGTTTTCTTTTTCACTTTTTTAATCACTGCATCACAAGATTCATGTAAACTTCTTTCATTGTTCTTTTGATTATTTCTTTTTCTTTGTTTCGCTTTGTTTCTCAATATGAACAATAGCAACCAATAGTGTCATATTGTATATTAACAGATAATAAAAGTACAAAGATTATATTGGATCTCTCTCTTTTTGGCATTGCTCCTAATTATAAAAGTAGATTAAGTGGAAAGGACTGATAAAGAGAGGGACAACAATGAACATACGAATCTATCGATGTTAGTAAACTCACCGTTGATTAGTCGCGCGTATTTCGGATCCGTGACACTATCAACGAACGCGAACGTAAGAACTAGAACGACGATTACCGCCGACGACGCGATACTGTTACTCATCCTCGCGTAAATATCGCGCGGTTTCGTAGAATCGCGCTACCACGTGCATTCGTCGAAATGGAATTTTTATGTAACGCAGAATCACACGGATGAAATACGGTAAACTGCTGCTGTCTGAACACTCTGTACCACGGTAATGGCATTTATGATAAATTCCGTTGATCAGGAGATCCCTCACTCCTTCCTACTCTGACATTCTGTCGAAGGCTTTATCTTCCTTGGACTGTCGAGGGGAGCGAAATTAGATAAAGAACACGTATGAAAGTTTACGCGCTGATTATCGATCTTTACAAAGTAAGTTACGGTTTATCTCTAAATCTTCGCTAAATCTTCCGATACAATTATACATTAATGCGCAGAAACGAATATTCAATGAGTATATACTTATCGAATTTGTCAGCAAATAGTTTTTTTTTTATAATTTAGCGCAATTATTTTAAGGAGTTCTTTAGCTTAACAAAGTGGACGGGAGTTGTGACTTATGACTTTTTTTTTATCATAATACGAAAGCACAAAGAATGCAAAATGCCATTGCAGTCTTCTGAAAAATAAAAATAAATAAAATTTAAATAGTAAAACAGTAATTTGTTATTAAAAAGTATTTTCTTTATAATAAAAATAAATATTTGTTTGGAAAATATTTTTAAAACATAATTATACTAATTATTTAAATTTAATTTAATTTACATAGGAAAATTGATGAATATACTTTTACATAAAATTGATAAGGTAAAACTTCATTATTTAATTCCAAAATGTTCTTATAAACTCTATTCTTTTATATCCGTGTACCTTTTCAAAATTCTTATATTTTATTTACAATTAAATTAAAAATTTTTATAAAATTCAAGTTATTTTAGAAAATTATTTTTAAAAAACTATTAAAAAATCGCAAGAAATTTAGGAAAAATTCCAAATAGCTAGCTAAAAGTGTCATCTATTTGATATAATTAATTATTTTTGACGAATCTCATGTTCTATCGTCATAAAAATAACGTAATTTGTTTCGCGTCATATAATGATGTCATATGTGATGTCATATTTAAATTGAAAATACGTCATTATTTTCGATGTGTTATTACCGATATAAATGAATGATTAATTGATCACTAACAACGTTACCAGTACGTCGTCGATCAGTCATTTATCTGATATTATTAAGTATCACGTTGTAAATAAGTCGTAGAATAGATAAATAAATTGCTTCATTAATTAATAAAAAAATGACATTATTATTAGAGATATGCCGGATCGTAAAATTGCCGAATATTTTCCGGATATCTGATAGAATTTCTCCGTCCTATTTAAAAAAAAGAAAAGCAGAGGAAAAATAACGGTAATAATTTTCTTTATCTTTCCAATGTGAAAAAAAAGAGAAAAGATGAACTACAAAGAAGTTTAATTGAAAATAATAGAATTCTGTATCAATGATGCGAACTTTTAATATAAAATTTCAGCCGGATATATATATATATATACACACACACACACACACACACACACTTTTCGATACATCCATAATTAATACATCTTAAATTATAGGTATGACGTCAATAATTTAAAATGACTAATTAATATCTAAATGACTACAACTTGCTATTTCAGATCTTTATATTATGCGAAAAAACTGGAGAACCTCCTTAAGATCATAATAAATATAGTTTATGATGTTTATACGGTAGTTTAAATTATATCGATGACATTGTTAATATGATAAATTGTATTCTTTATCTTTCGATCCATAATCAGCTATATATAGCAATGTGAACATAAAAACATGCTTGACAATAATTTATTTGAATGATAATTTTCTCGAGTATACCAGAGTATTTCATTAATTAATTTGTAGTTGTTCATATAAACGGTCTTGTTTCTAATCTTATTATCATTAAGATATAATTGTTAATTAATTGTGTACGAGATATATTTCCTATCAAATATGTGCTGGAATAAAGTATAAAATGTCTCGTAAAAACTATTGATTTTTTAATAGTTCAACTTTAATATTTTTATTAGGTGTTGGAATTAATTCGTAGCGTTTTACAAGTGATGGGAAGTACTTTCATTAATGTATTTTTTAATGCTCATGTGAAATAAATAACATTCTTTCATTAAAAAACGCTACGAATTAATTCCAACACCTAATATATGCAAAGTAATTAGAAAAAATATATTATATAAAAAATTTATATAATTTTATTTAAAAAAATAGTAACAACCTTTACATGATAACCATGAAAAATTAATTTTTTTCGAAAATTGATTCATTATTTGTTTAACAATTCTACAATTACCGTTCGAAAATTTTGTTTCACAAATGCTTTCTTTCCGAGATGATTATCTGATAAGATTAAAATATATTATTCTGTGTAGAACCACAGTTGCATTTAACCGACGAATGAATGAAAATTCTTTTCAACTTCATCTTAAGGTAATGCAATCGAAACATTGTTGCGTTGTATTTATATTAATCGATAGCATAGTTTATTCTTTAAACTTCAATCTTGAAATTTATCCCGAAGTTATCGATATATATAATCGTAAAAATATGATTTCTGATAAGAATATTCTCAAGAATAGTCACACGTTTTGAAAAACATATTTATCTATCGTATGCCTATTAGATTACGTACAAATTAGCAGATTTACGAATATTTTTTTATAATAATAGAATCGAAATATTTATCTATTTTCTAGATAGTTTTTAAAATATTAGTCTTTATTGCTTATTATAACGTTTACATAACAGATTTTAAAAAATTGATTTGGAAACTTCATATGAACACTGAAAAATTTCCATTGATAAAAAAATATCAAATAATTATGAGGCATAATTTGATGTTCTCGTTAATCTAAAAGTTTACTATATATTTTACAATAGTGAAATGATCTTTTGTGCCGAATAATTGTCATTAAGTATATTTTAATATATCAACATTATCATTAGTATATATTAACATAATCACATAAAATTAAGTCATTATTATCACAAAGTGTATTTATTTATTCCGGTTTTTCAGGAAACGAAACTTTCGGCTTGCTGGACGATTCCGATTCTGTTTTATTAGCTCTGTTAGAGCGAAGCACCGCGCCTGGACTGGGATATGGTCTCATTTGATAAAGAGGACCTGAGGCGGTCGTGTCAGCACCAGTTTTAGCTTCATTATGTTTAGCCAATCCGTCTGACCATTTCCCCCTATGATGCAATTATATATAAATAAAAAGTATGAGATATACATATGTTAATCTGTGAACTTTTGTGAATAGGAATACATACCTAGGAATATCACTATAGGATGCTGGATCCATAGGATCTAAAGTACGATCTTTAGCATCTTTACCATCGGTTCTGTCAGATCTATAAGTTCTTTTGTTATCTGGTCCTTTATATCTTGAACGATTTTCGATCTTTCTGTCTTTTTTGATAGGTTCACTTTCTTCTACCTGAATAATCACAATATTAGTCGTAAATCTTAAATTGTAAATTGTAAATCTATAATAATTACATAAAAAATATAATTACTAACTTCCATTTGCTCTTGATCACTAGTGCTGTCATCACTTGACAAATTATCATCTTGATCTCCTGCCTTCAAATGCAATTCTTCACGTAATTGAGATGCAGGTTGCGATATTTGACATTTAGGATGACCAGGTGGTAACCAAGATACCAAATCAGAAGACCAATCCCAATAATAATGTTGTCCACTGTGAATAGATGATAAATTAATATTTTTCTATACAATATCTTATATACAATAAGATCACAATCATTATTCACAAATATTATTGAACAATTTCATAAATATTATTTAAAAAAAAATGATATTTTAAAATTATTTTGATAATTAAAAAGATATTTAATTACGAAATACAAAAATTAGCACTATTCTTGGACAAGAATTAATTTATCTATATAAGACTAAGAAATTATTAGTACTTACGATCCAGGATCATAAACAGCTTTCCAAGTCTCTGGCAATGGATATTTTTGAATTAATCTCATTTGTTGTTTCAAATATCTATCCGAAGGTTGCGCGTGTCCGATTCCCCATAACTCTTTACATTTTTTTGTACATTCATGATAAATATTGTATTTATTAGGACACCCACTATAACCCTAAATAAAAAGTTTTTTTTTAAATAACAATTTAAATTTGTTTTATTATACAAATAAAAATTAAATGTTAACTTATAGTCACATTTACCATAAATTTTTGGGATATGTCAATCTGATTAATCTCTTCTTTTGTGTTATCATAATCTTCAGCTATTACTTCTTCATGCACTTTCTTTTTTGCTTCTTTTTTCCCAGATTCTACAAAATTAATAACTTAACCTAACATTACAAATCATGCAACGATATAATCTTCAAGATTTATATAAATATTTTTTATTAATAGAACGGAAATTAATTCAATATATAAGAAAATTTACAACATATAATTATGTATACCATGCTTTTCGGAGCCAGTGATTAACCCCCTTTTCGCAAGACGTGCAGCTAATGCTGCTGGCAAAGGCATTTTTAGATTTCTTCAATCCCAACTTTCAGAAAATTATTAATTTATTATAAATAATATAGGAATAGTTCTTTTTTTTAATAACTCGATTGTAATATTCTAATTTAATAGACAAGCGTTTTTCAATATTATTCGTGATTGTTTACAACTGGTTTATAACATAATACAAAACCTTTCCAAGTACCGAAAACTATGCACTCTCAAGAGAGGAACTTGCATTAATATAAACATTGGCGCTACTAGCTGCTCAGCTGACTGTGATTAGCGGAGAAAAGCAGTTCAATGGACGTATTCAGCAGAATCAACAGTTGAGTGAACGCTATTATTGGTGTATTCTTTTAGATCATCCAATCAGAATTTTAGATTTAGAAGAATACATCAATAGTAGCGAGCTCTCACTCGTTAAGTCTCCTAACCAATGCTATTGATGTATTCTTCTAGATCTAAAATCTGGTTGGACAATCTAAAAGAATACACCGATAACAGCGAGCGTTCACTCAACTGTTTGCTGAACACAGCCAATGGGTACATTTAGAATGACAATCGCTCACTGAGCTCTTGCATCTGATTGGCATATTCCGTTAGATCCTAAAATATAAATCAGTCAGATGAAAAAGCTCGGTGAGCAATTGTCGTTCTGAATGCACCCATTCATCCTGAGTCCTAATTCTTGAACAAATATCGCAAACGAAAATAGCAATTCCGTATATAATCGACTAATCACAGTCGAGAAACAGTCATTTCCATATGCGAAAATTATTCGTGCCCAAGAAAATTATATTCAAGAATAGGACCCCTAAGAATGCGTTTCAAAACGTGATTAGAGTATCTAAAAGTCTATAGTTCACGTCGCATGAACGATAGAGATTTGGTTACTGCAGCTACGTTTTAGGAACGCATCCCAGCTGATTCAGCAGTGTTGTATGAATAGACCAGAAGTGAGAGAAGTGTCGCGCTATCATTTCAATGCAATGTCTATCTAACGAGACTGCAGATTTCGTGACCATAAAACGTAGTCCAGTGTCGACGCCCAGTTTTTGCGTGTGAGTGTTTAATTTAAATTTTGTATATACCTTTGACCACATTATCCTCGTCATTCATTAATTTACGGAGATCCTGGGGAATTCGACTTCACGTATGTACTCCCACCGGAGTTCTCGCCGGAGAACCGTATTTGACATAATGATCAAAATGGCGACTCCGAAAACAATATTTCTCTTCTGATGTGCTACTTCACATGGAGCTTTCCAATTATTTTTCGCGTCCGTCATAGTAGATTTTTAGTCAGCCAAGCGCAGAATTCCGAGATTACGCTAATCCTCATGTATCTGTAATCGGATACACGAATGAATTCTCAAATTGGTGGAACAAAACTAATTTGCCGCACTTTGATTCTTTGCCAATTGTAATAAGTGCAACTGCAACTTACGCCTGTATTATCGTACATAAAAGAGGTTTGCAATAATTATCTGTCACTGCTAATTACTATATTGTCGCAATATATAATTAAGTATTACTGGACTATTGTTCAAGTTTTTATTGGCGTAATTTCGTTTATACTGATGAACGTAACCATAGATTTAAAAAATGCAACTCCTCAATTTTTTTCTGATAAAACAATATTTTATTTGATGGTAGACTTTATTTATATCTTGTTATATTTTCGTATTTTATATTTAATCTAAATACCAATAATAATATTCAATAACTCGAGAGAGATTATATGTACATTAATGTCACATGTGAATATAAATCTTTGAAGTATAATATATTCGTTTCCGTGGAATATGTTATCGTACTTAGTTAATAATTTGATATTAAAACCAAAGAGAAACTAATTGATGTACTTTTATTTCATAGAAAAAAGACAAAAATTGAATTAGTAAACATTTTATTATGAGAAATAAAGTGTAATATATTTAATATTATAAATATTTAATTTTTTATTAAGAATTGACAATGCATAAATAATATAGTTGCGGTTAATTTACTAATAATATTATTTGTATAATTGTATAATTTTAAGCTTTCAAAGAAAACAGCAAAGTATATTTTTGTTTTTCTTGTTTTCCATAGGTAGCATTTGATAAAATTAAAAATGCAAACAATAAAGTGTGTAGTAGTTGGAGATGGAGCAGTTGGTAAGACTTGTTTATTAATCTCTTATACCACGAATAAATTTCCATCGGAATATGTTCCGACAGTATTTGACAACTACGCAGTCACTGTCATGATTGGTGGTGAACCATATACATTAGGATTGTTTGATACAGCGGGTAATTATCATTAAGTATCTATATAGTACTTGTTAATATTAAATTGTTTTGAGTAGAAATAGAAAAGATTATGTTAGCAACAATTTACTTAAGTGTTTGAATATTTTTTTAGGTCAAGAAGATTATGATCGTTTACGTCCATTAAGTTATCCACAAACTGATGTATTTCTTGTATGTTTCTCAGTTGTGTCACCATCATCATTTGAAAATGTTAAAGAAAAGGTATAATCAAAATTAATTGTTGTTGTTTCAAATGTTTTATCCTTATATATAATTATCTTTATGTATACTTTTATATAATAGTGGGTACCAGAAATAACGCATCATTGTCAAAAAACGCCATTTTTATTAGTCGGTACACAAATTGATTTACGGGATGATGCAGCCACGATTGAAAAACTAGCAAAGAATAAGCAAAAGGCTATTTCGAGTGAACAAGGAGAAAAGCTTGCTAAGGAATTAAAAGCCGTAAAATATGTTGAATGTAGCGCTCTTACACAGGTATGGCAATAACCTACTTTTTCTATGTAATAATTTTAGTAATTATGCAATTAAATCTGAGAATTGATTTTTCAATTAGCTGATTTTTTTCGCTTCAATCTTTTTTGTCAATATTTCAGAAAGGGCTTAAAAATGTCTTCGATGAGGCTATATTAGCAGCTTTAGAGCCTCCAGAACCTATTAGAAGAAGAAGGTGTATTATTTTGTAGAAGGTACACTACTTTTTTGATAAAACTGTTAGTTCTCTACAGTAAGAAGACTGTAAATTTCCTCATATACACTGCATGCAAAAGTTTTACAGTGACAATTGTTAAATTATAAGGCATATATATGTATAAGTATTTTATGGCATTGGCGACATATGAAGCAATCTTTATCTATATTGGCATTATATAAATTTTATAATTATAAAATTATAATTATAATTATTAAATTATATCTTTGCCTTGTATAATGAACGTTATACCAACATATTTCACATTATTCTGTGCATCTCTTTGTTTACTCTCTTTGTTATGGCGATCAAATGTATGAATTGCCTTACACAGAATGTTAACAAGAGATTCAAGAAAATTTAGGGATATAATATAAAATCTTTATAATATTCCCATCGTTAAAAAGAATTAAATAATTTTGCTCAATATAAACCATTTCATAAAGAGGATTATATGTTTTGTATAATTTCATGTAAATTATAACATGACGTACATGTATATGCATAAGTGTAACACTATTGATGTGTAACACTATTAATTTTGCATTTTCATACATTAGTTAAAAGTTTTTTTATTCTTTT